CAGCATCTGCTAAAACATTCTGGCTGTGTTCAGTGCAAGCATAAACCATAACTAATTAAGTGTTAAATCCACCATCCGCAGATGGCATTGGGTTTTCTGAATCCTTGTATAAGACTTCCTACTGGTAGCAGGATACATGCCAAATTCTGCCAAACATTTCATTAAAAAAATTCCCAAGTGTTTCAATGACATTTTGAAGATGTTTTCTTGTTTGAATAGCTGCCTCTCATTGTAGCATATGTTTTTGAACAAAATCGTGAATCCCTCATCTGCTTTGTTTTGTTAATAATAGAATCATAGAATTGTTGAGTTGGAAGGGTTCCTGCGGGTCATCTATTCCAACCCCTTGCAATGCAGGAATCTCAGCTGAAGCATCCATAACAGATGGCCATCCAACTTCTGCTTAAAATGCTCCAAGGAAGGAGAGTCCACCGCCATGGGAGTCTGTTCCACTCTTGAACAGCTGTTACTGTCAGAAAGTTCTTCCTGATATTTAGTCAGAATCTCCTGACTAATGTACTTTTTGCATACAAAACAATGTACTTTTCCCTTTCATTGTATGCAGCTGGGGGTGGCAGGGGAACAGATAAGGGTGCAATCTTAACTCAACTTACCTGGAAATAAACCCCACTGAATTAAAAGGGACTTACTTCTGAGTAGTTATGACTGGAATTGTGCTGCTAACCAAGAAGACTTGTTCTTAAGTTATTACGTACACAGTTGTCACCGACCAAACGATTCTGTTGCGCAAAAAGTCCTGGGACCCTTTAAAGGTCCATTCTAAAGCCAAACCCAACTTATCCCTTCCGTAGTGTAGGCTAAGGGAAGAAAGACTTCATCTGCCACATTTCTGCGTAATAGGACATAATGAGAACACAGCTGATTTTAAAACACAACTGGTTGTCCTAATAAAGCTCCCCTATTATTGGTTCTTTAACCCCCTTTCTTCATTATAATTATTTGTTATTAATATTGCATTGGATGCAGTGATGCCTTTCTAAGGGCCTTCGTTCTTGAGAGATCTCCACTCACATCTGGCAGAGGAAACCAATCTGCACTGGGGTTGCTTCCCCCCTCCCATTCATTCAAGAGTTCACTGGATACAACTTATTATTATTATTATTATTATTATTATTATTAGTTATTACTACTGCTGCTATTAGGCTTGCAGCCACATTGGATAATCTGTCCATGCACTTGCTGTATTCTCAGGTTCTTTTGTCTTGGAGGCTGATATCCCCAGTATAACTTTTGCAACTGGTATGGAGATATTTTTACTTCTCGACACTTCCTTTATTTTTAGGGCATTATTTTGTCATCACAAATAATGACACATCTCCTGTGAAGCAAAGTAATTCTGTTTTCTTCTCCCCTCACCCTTTTTCTTAATTACTCCAGCTACTGAACTCTGATGACTTGTAAAAACTAAGGGCCGGATCAAGGCTTAGTCCGAGTAATTAAGTTTCATTGATTTCAGGGAGTCTATTCTAAACATAACTAAGACTGAATCCAACCCTATATGAACAGTGGTGAGGAAAACAAGGAAATAATAAAGTGTCCTACTGCAAAGGTTCTGAAAAGTCTATGACTACACTTTGACTGTATCCTACTTGGAATAATATGTGTCAAAATGCTTCAATGCATGATTTATACCAGTAGTGAGACTGATAATATGACAGCAGGCAGTGTGTGTGTGTGTGTGTGTGTGTGTGTGTGTGTGTGTGTAGAACATGGATATAGATAATGGATCAACACAGCAGCCTGAATTATTGGAGACTCCTTAGTGCAATGGCAATGGACTCTGCTTGTAGATGTGACTACGAGAGTTGTCACAATGAGCTCCTGAACTTCAAAATTTAACACTATACACTAGTGGTGATCATTTGTGATCACACAAATGAAACCTATTTGTATACAAAAACTGCTTTCTTGTATGCATAGTTATAAAAGCCCTGATATAGCTATCAGGCGTGTGCCTTCACTGTATTCATTTTGAGGTCTGCTAAAAACATTTTTGTTCAAATAGATAGCTAAAATGCTGGTGTGTTTTTGGTTTATTGCTGGTTTCAATTTTCTGAAAGTTTTGATTGTTTTTACTAATAAATGCTGTTTTATTCTTTTTGTAAACTGCATTGAGGCTTTTTACAATCAAGCGGTGTATAAATTGTTTGAAATAAATAAATATGATTTCCTCTCTTTGTGTGTATTAAATTGAGGAAATTACAATGCTGCCACTCCTTGGCTTTAAGTATTAAATGATGGGACTAAGTTTCAATCTGACTAAAAGTTCTGATTGATTCAAGTCTAGCATCCTCTCAGCAATGCTTTGAAAATAGACTTTCGCCAGTGCTGAATCTGTTGCCTTTTAAAAGAACTTCCACGGCACCTTCAGCTGAAGTGGATAATGAATCAGCCTATTCCTCCCACTCCTTCTAAATAATGTACAAATGTTTGCACTGAAGAATTAAAAACCTGGTGATGCTAACAGAGATGGTTTATTAGCTTCCACTTAGCCCTGGATTTTACAGTTTTGTATTTCAGCTGTGAAATTACAATCCCTAAAGACATAATATTATGAAAATCCCTGTGCTCACCATACAAAAGGCAATGAAGCTGGCCTTGCAATGTAAAGAAAGCAGCCACAAAAGAGCTCACACGGAACACTGTCAGGACTGTTTCCTCCCACTGCTGTATACAAGATAGGTAGAGTATTTTCTATGCCATAGGAAATAAAGGGGGAAATGCACCATGAGAATACAAGAGAAAAGGAGGCCGCGTGAGCATGGATGAAAAATATCTCATACCACTGGCTGCAGTTAATTAGGAGGAACACAAAGCTTTTATTTACTTATTTATTTAAATAGTTTTACAATGCTTTATAGGGCAGTGTCCTCTCAAGAAGGGATTCTGTTTCCAGCCAATGTAAATTTTGCATGTATTCATTCAGAAATCAGTTCCATCCTGCTTCCACATTACAGTAATCTGCTATTTTTAAAGGCTTCATACTCCCTAAGTATGTGGGAGGGGGACACAAGTAGTGTCTTATTCAAGGACCCTCAAAAATCTGGAGCCAGCACTGTTCATCTCATCACAAGCTACCTACAAAGGAACCTGCAACAAAATGTTGCCATGTGGAATGTTCCAGCCCACCAGCCACATCCTCTTCCAGGATACTCCTTTCTATTCCCTCCCCTCTCAATTTTTATCCAACAGGCAGCCAGCATTATGTGACAACTGAGCGTGCTCAGTCCTCAGTGGGTTATTTTGGGCTGTTGTGCTTCTGCAAACGTTGGGGTGTCTCCAAGCATGTTAATATCTCCCCCATGTTCAAGGATCAGTACACAGAGAACATCCAGCAAGTCAACCAGGCTGTGCATTTTTATTGTACTAATTTTATCTAAGCTGAAGCCTCTCTGTCTGTGAAAGTGCCTCTGCTCCCAAAATTTTGTGGTTAGTTCACTCCATAGTCCCAATTGCCCTGCCTCTGTGTTTTAAGACCTTCCTGCCTAAATTTAGTTCAGTCTGCTTTTCTGAGCTCATTCAATCTATATAGAGAATTCAAGATTGTTATTTTTTTTTTAGAAAGAGAACTTCCCCATCCTTCCTTGCAGTCTAGTGAATGCTCAAGCAAATATATATTTTATGTTCAAAGAGAGGCATCAAAGTGGCAAAGTTGTTGGCGCACTCAGCCAGCGAACAAGCCTAAGGGATTGGAAAAGACTGAACGTACTGAAACGAAGGTGGGTGAATGTGGACACATATTATCAGAGTTTAACAGAACATCAAAGCTGCTCAGGCATTAAATGGTTGTTAGCAGCTTGTAAGTGGGGGAACTGGAAAGGCTTAAAAGTATATTCAGCCAGAAAAAGCTAACTAAAGTGCTAACACTTGAACAGAACCTAACTTTCTGCTTCAAAATATTTCTATTTAGCCAAAGCTCCAAAACTTCAGCTTTGGACAATTTTGCAGCAAGCAAGCTGCCTTCCAAAATATATTTTGCAAAGTTATTGAGGAGAGGAGGGGGGTATAGTTCATTTGTTCATAGTCTGCCACTGAGGCTAAGCAAGAAGGCAGAACCGTATAGATGCTGTATCACCTCATCCCAATTCATACGCACTCCATAATCCAAAACCATGGCCCTCATGTTTTCCAAGAGCCAATTTGGGCACTGTATCCAAAGACTAGGGACAGAATTCAACAAATGAGTCTCATCAGGGGAAGCCTTGTACAAGGAATTTTGTTTGTGCAATGGGACTTTCCACCCTCTATTCCCACTGTGACCCTAAAATTATCCCTGGGCATGGGGGGAGCAGTCTGAAGAACCCGCAGAACAGCATACAGGGAGAAGAGAGGCGGAATAAGTTCATCTGACAAACCAAAACACTTTCCAAGGCAAAAGGACCTCTTACCTTCATATAATAAAAGGTAAAGGGACCCCTGACCATTAGGTCCAGTCGTGATCGACTCTAGGGTTGCGGCACTCATTTTGCTTTATTGGCCAATGGAGCCGGCGTACAGCTTCCAGGTCATGTGGCGAACCAGAGCAGCGCACAGAAACATCGTTTACCTTCCCGCCGGAGCGGTACCTATTTATCTACTTGCACTTTGACGAGCTTTCGAACTGCTAGGTTGGCAGGAGCAGGGACCGAGCGATGGGAGCTCACCCTGTCGCGGGGATTTGAACCACCGACCTTCTGATCGGCAAGTCCTAGGCTCTGTGGTTTAACCCACAGTGCCACCCACATCCCTCCTTCATATGATGACAAGTGACTACTGAGGCTTTGCACAACTGCTGTCTGAGCCCGGGATGAACTTCCAGCCCTGCACAACCATTGGGACACAACACTCCATCCTGCTCTGGCCATGTAGGTTGCTGGGAGACTTGTATTCAAACAGACCTATCACAATCAAGCTGCATTTGAACAGACCTATCACAGGCAAGCTGCATTTGAACAAACCTATCACAGGCACACAGGGGCTGGGCAGGTCTTTGTGGTGGACCTGAGTGAAGACTTCAGCACTTGGTCTTCACTGGGCTTATAAAGATGCCTCGAAGGGACTTGCCGGCTCTGTCAAAGCTGAATTCCCCACCCTCCCATCCAATGTAGCATATGGCCCTGCCCGCAGGTGGGCAGGCAGATTCTGTGTATGACCTTGCTATGGAAATATTCAGTTGTCATATTTGGAGCCAGGGAGGAATTTGACGGCAGGCAAATTGAGAGTTTTGCCTACCTCATAGCAATTGTCACAACTTGTTGGCAGATAATGCATTGGATGCAGCCCTTAGTCTAGGCAGGGGCAGGGTTGGGAGCCCACCCACCCCCTGCTTCAGGGAATCAGGGATACTCTGTTAAAGGAGTCCAGGGGAGGTGCTTTCTAGATGCCCAACATAGAGTCAGTAGGCCATAGCACCCCCTAAAATGGCAGTCTTGGAGGGATAAGTCCTATCTGGGAGATCTCAAAAAAGCTGGAGGTGTCTACCTTACCAGCTGCAACTTTCTGGGAGAAGACAGGAGTGGAGGGTGCCTTTGGCAGGGCTTTGGGCTTGGATACAGGCTGTGGGCTTTCCTCCCTGGCTTCTCCTTCCAATACCCTGCCCATGAAAGAGCACCATGCTTACTAGCAGAGGACGCAATCTTGTGGGATGTCGGCTGCTCCTGCTGCTCAAGGGGCTTCCTGCATGTGGGGCCACAATTTGGAGCTACAGGACAGATTGGAGGTTCTGTGCACAGTCCCTAGGATACAGGCATGAGGTCCGTGCTTCAAGGCACAATTGGCACATGGAACACAAGTAGGTGGGAGGATCATCCCACTTCCCTTCCACATGCCCAGCCTACACTGTTGGAATACCATCTGTCTCTATCTGCCACAACCAACCACAGTGTTGTGCCCATCTCCAAAAGGGCTGGATGAGAAACACTGACCCTTTTCTCCTGTTTTTAGTGGAACAGAAGATCCAATTCGGTAGTGCTAGGCTCTGATTGATTTATTCTACTTACCCTAGCACCATTAAGGCTCACTTTTAATTTACTTCAAATATATACAGCCACTCTGTCTAATAATGACTAAAATCAAAACCAGGTGAGAGTTCACCAGACCATGGACAACTGAGGCCAGGCTATCCCAACTGAGGGACGGCTGTAACTGGTGAATCACCCTAAGCACTCCTAGCCACAGAAACCATTTGAGACTCTGGTGAGAAGTTGGAATCCAGGAGCACTGCCAGACAATGAACCTGTTCCTTCAGGTGGAGTGTAGATGATATGGCTGCTAGCTGGTGGAATCCAGCAGAGGTTTTATGGGAGGTCAGTAAGATGTTGCTCCTTCTACTCCTCCCGCTATCTCTGCCTGCCTCCTACTATGTGGTATCCACACACACACCCTTCATTGCTGGAGTGACACAAGGTCCACTGTAGTTATCGCGTCTGGATTTGAAAAGTCTTGGCCAAATGTGTGAGCTCAAGCCAGACTCGCCACATCATTTACCCAGAAAGAAAATTTAGAAGTGGTGCAGTTTCTCTCTTTGTGCTTGCCTGTTTGCACCGATGCACATTTCACAGGGAGACAATAGAGCGTAAAAAAAAGGAGAGAGATTGATGAAGAGCAATTAACACCCTCCAAATGCACACGATTCCTTTGTGAGACCCTTGTTATTTGAGATCAAAAATATGTCACTGAGCTTTAAAATGAATGCATCAAGCTCTTTCAGGCATCACTATAGCGAATTTTAATCACAGTCACCAGAAACACAAAAGCATCGCCAAGTATTTAAGGACAGGATTTGGGCAACAGATAAATAATTGGATGGCATTTGGCTTTAATCAAGATTCCCTACAATAACTTATTTGTATTCTTGCATCCTGATGCCATGACAAAAGCCTGAAGCATTTCAAAAGCATTTACTTGAGGGAGGGGGTTGAGGAGAGCTTTGGTGCTGTTCTAATTGTATGAAATTGAGTTTATGTCCCTTAAGCAAAGATACTGCTAATTTTTGACACTAATTGTGAAGAAGTATGACTAGAGAATGGCAAATTTTCAAGGCAAATCTGAAATTGAACAAATTGCAGCCATTCTGTTGGTGCAGATGTGAATCTTCAAGAAAAGAATGGCTTTGATTTGATCAATGTATTTTAGAATCATTATTCATTTCTGCTCTAAGCAGAGTTAGCCAAGATGTACGTCTCTCTAACACAGACCAGGATCAGATGCTGTGGGTTCTGACACACCCAGCCCACGTCCATTCTGCCACCATTTTTAGTCATTAACTTTCAGTGCCAGCAGTACTGTTGCAATGGTGCTGTTTCAAGATGACTATTTTAAATGGCGCTTGCTCATTTCTATTATTATTTAAGATATCTGATACTGCTCTTCCTCCAAGGAGCTCACGGTGACATACATGCCTCCCCACATTGTATCCTCATAACCTTTTGTGGTAGGTTGATCTATTATTATTATAGGTTTTTTTATTATACTTTCCTAATCTCCCCTCTTTTTGCTATCTTGTTACCTTGCATTTTCCATCCTTTACTTTCAGCTGCCTCCCCTGAATGGGTGAGGTTCCTGTGTAGCAGCAGAAGGTGCCAGAAGGTGCAAGGAATTTCACCCCTTCAAGAATTTGCATGTAAGATTGAATTTACTAAGTGCCATTTGGTCTGCTGTCAGGTGTACAACCCCACAACTTCAGTTGTGCTCTGATTGATTGATTTGATGGGGCTATTTCATTATTAGATGGAATGGCTTTGTATCTGTGAAGTAACAAATTAAACAATTACTAAAATCAAGTCTTGTTGCTTTTGTAGCCAGTGGTTGAAATGAAGGCCTGGGACAAATTGTATTGATGGATTTGGCAATAACTTTTAATGATGGATTAGCTCTAGCAGCAATTAATTAACAAACACAGCAACAGCTGTTTTCATACTAGGTGAGCAGGTAAACACTATTTCCCTCACTTTCAGAAAGAAGACTCAAGACACCTTATTATGTGGGGGAAAGGTTATGCATATTAAAATATAACCAATTAGAGGATCTGCCAATTAGCAAACAAATAAGTGTGGGCAGGGGGATGCATGCTTTTATATGAGGGAATCATCCCTCACCCATCGGCATGTAAACTATCGGGTTATGTGCTCTGCAGACATGGATAGAGAGAAACTGTTCCTATTTGTGTATATGAATGCCAACCTGTGTACCTGTACCCCACTGTCCAGCATTCACTGTGGCCCCAAGATAACATCTAAGAACTTCACAAGTCACCAGCTCTCGGTGATAACAGTGTCCCCCCATCCCAATAACGCCTCAGGGTGGCATAAAAGTCAGATCTTACCTTTCCTTACCTGTCCACACTGAATGCCAAACATTCAAATAATACCACATCGACCCAAGATGCTCTACAGTGTGAAGTAAGTGGAAATAAGAAGCCCCAAGTACCAAATGCAGGTAGCCAATGGCCAAATTACAGTTCAACCTTTGGTCCCCAGATGTTATTGAACTACAACTCTCATCACCCCTGACCACTGGCCATACCAGTGGAATGATGGGAGTTGTAGTCCAACAACATCTGGGGACCTGTGGTTGAGAAAGTCTGCTATAAAGGGAGGGAGGAAGCTGCAAAGGGAAAAGAGGAGGTGGGGCCACCTTAAATAGGAAGGTCCACAGACCTACATGGCCCTAGATCAACCCAGAGACCAACTTAAGTCTGCTTTCCCCCAGGAGGGAGGCAAACCCACTCCCACCAAAAGGCAGGATGCCATTTTGACTGATATGCCTATGTTTCATACTTTCAGCTCAGTGCATGTGTACCCAGCTGTTTTGAAGCAAGACATAGCAGATATTAAATGCCTTGGGAAAAGCAGTTCATGCACAAGTTGCCCTTGCTTCTATATCCTTTGTGGGTAGTTTATCTGATGAAGAACTGATGAATTGCCCCCTGAGGTAAACAGCACGGTTCCAGGAGCTGTAGTTTGATACGAGTGCTAAGCGCTGTTAGGAGACCCCTGTTTCCCGCACAGACCTACAGCTCAGAGTCCCCTGTGAAGATGGATAGTCCATTAAGCCACTCAGGAAATTATAGATCTGTGAGGGGAATAGTGGTCTCCTAACAACTCTCAACACCCTTAACAAACAACAGTTCCCACAATTCTTTGGGGGAGGCCACGGCTGCTTAAAGTGGTATCAAGGTGCTTTAAATGTTTGCTGTGAATGTGCCCTAAATTGTGTGAGAAATGAGATGTACAAGTAGCTCGTGCTTCCTCTTTTTGGACTTTTTCTGAAGCAGAACTATACACATACTGTATCTCCGTGGTGTGGTGCAAGAACTCCCACCTTTGAAATATCCTTAAATCAAGAGAGTCACTTTGGCTTTCGCTTCCCCCTGCAAGTCATAACAGCCAAAGCAATTTTCCTGAGTCCACTCACAACTGTTATAAATGTGGGGAAGGGGGAATCAACCTTTGGTTTTTCATCTCTGTATTTTCTACAGTGATTTCTGTAATTTTCATATGAAATGAATGGTTGCTACATCAATACTGTAGCAAATAACTTTGCACCCCTTGTCCTGACTAGAATAATGCAGCAACGCAATAGTAAATTCATGCACCTGGTGATTTCAGTGGAGCAAAAATAAGCGTGTCTGTTGGAGAATAAATTATATGTACACAAGCAAAACTAGAAAATATAAAGCTTAGTTATAGTTACACATGGCTAATAAACAGTGAACTATGTTGCTTTTCAAATATATTTTTATATATAACAAGACCAAACACAGAAAATATAAAGTTTATACCCACCCTAAATGCATAAGGTGGTGATTAAGTTCCATTGAAATGTGGCTTTGTATGAAAAAATAAATTACGCGAAGGGTTTTTGCTTTGCTTTCTTTTTTTCTTCTCACAGTCTCCATCAGTAACAAGAAAACAACATGTGCGAACAGAATACATTTTTCCCAGCATAGTTTTACATTTTGAAAGTGAAATTTTTCACATCTGAGAGATACTGCATCCACAGCCTTGAGCACCAAAAGGCACCATTTAAATACCTGAAGAAAGAGTCTCTGGGGGAAAGCAGAAAACAAATTACTGCCATGCTATTGTTTGATTTCTCTGCCTTTTGTCTTTTATCTCTTGCAAAGGAGAGGAAAAAAACTCTAGGGGGCTTTCTGAAATAAATGTATGCTTGATACATATTTGCTATTCATAGACTCTCTGTCTGTCTTCCCAAATGGTTGTGCTGGGGGTGGGAGGAGGCATTCAGTGGAAGGCAGAGGCGTAGTGTGGGGGTCCGTGGGGGGCCTGGCCCTGGGCGCAATTTTGAGAGGGGTTGCGAATAGGCATCCCCAAAGCAGGCTCTGCTCCAGAAGGAGCTATGGCTTGGCTGCGGCGCTGGTTCAGCTCTGACCCCCCCCCCCCCAGTTCAGGCCTGGGCAGACAAGTGGGCAAGAGCGCTGCCATCCACCCTCCTTGGCCATGGCACACCTGGCGCCCTGTGGCAGCAGCTGTTCTGACCCAGCGGTGGAGAGCAGCCCTCCTCAGCCATGGCAAGGCAGGCCTGGCTGCAGCAGCTCCAATGCCGGGTCAGGTCTGACCCAGCAGTGGAGAGCAGGAGAGTCGGCTGCCATGCTGTTGCCCACCCTCCCTGGCTGCATGGTGCCTCACATCCAGTTGCCACCGGGTCACATCTGCCCCAACGGTAGAGAGCATCCTACCTCAGGCACAGTGAGGTGCATCCAGCCACAGCAGCTTCGCCTCCGCTGCCGGTTCAGGCCTGGCCCAATAGTGGAGAGCAGGGGGAGAATGGGCAGCAGCTTCCCCACCCCTCTCCTACCCTGAACTGTGGTGCGCAGGAGGGTGCCCTCCATGCCCCATGCCCTTCCAGGGTAGCGCGAGCATATGCTCTGCCAAAGAAGGAAGGGCCATAGCTCAGTGGCATCTCCACATAGGGTACCCAAGGCCTTGGAGAGCTACTGCTGGTCGTGTAATAATAATAACAATAATTTTATTATTTGTACCCTGTCCATCTGACTGGGTTGCCCCAGCCACTCTGGGCAGCTTCCAGCATGTATAACAGCACAATAAAACATTAAACGTTAAAAGCTTCCCTATACAAGGCTGCCTTCAGATGTCTTCTAAAGGTTGTATAGTTACTTATCTCCTTGACATCTGATAGGAGGGCATACCACAGGCGGGTGCCACTACCAAGAAGGACTTCTGCAAACAACAATGAGCTGGATTGGTCCGGATTTGCAATGCTGCTTCCTATATAGGGAATTCCCTATACAGGAATTGAATTGAATTCCTATTGAATTCTCCTATCCCTGATACAGTACAGTTTGTAGCTGGAAAAAGGTGATTCTGGATAAGGGCCAATAAACTGAGTTTAAACCCTGTCAAGGAGACTGGCATTCAAGAGAAAGAGCATTTCCTGTCCCTTGATTTGCTGCTGTTGTTTGCTGGCTCCATGTATATGGGAGTGTGTTATCCAGTTCAGATTCAGGAAAAGGCATAGATAGAGATTACTTTCTTTAACTCTTCATATAAGATGTGAGGAGACAGCCAGAAAGGCAAGTCCCACATGGCACAGTGAGCTGGTGGTGCTACAGGAAGAACATCACACTCCTGAGGGAGGAAAGGGACATTCAGGACATTGGGCTGGCAATTCTGTATTATCTCTAGAATACATAACACCAAAATTATACCAAAGTCCCCACCTCCTAACAGGACTGTCTGATTAGGCCATGCAAATCAGAAAGTCTGGCATGTCAAGCAATAACCTCCTCCAAAGAGCGAGATTCAAATGCAGCAGTGACTCTTAGCCATTGGTGAGTAAGAGCTGAAATGTTCCCATGAAAGTGAAGCCAAGGATGGGGCGAGAGAGAGAGAGAGAGAGGAGAGAGAGTGAAGAATGAGTCAGAATTGCAATTGCGTGGGCATGTCAATATTTATAGCAAAGCTCTGTGGGTTTCTAGTGACTCTAAAGCAGCACTCCATGCAGTTGTGTTGGGTAATAAAAACCCAGTAAATTTGTCTGACAACAGTGGAGACCTGTTGATACCAGCTCTTTATAAAGGATTCCTGCTAAGCCGAACTGGCTGTCTATAATACAAGTGTATTGCTGTCCTCAGAGTCAGCATCTTTGAGTAGTTTTCATGCTCTTCCTGCCCTCCTCCCTCCCATGTCAAGCTACAAGGTAGATGTATGTATTAGAGACTAAACAGGATTTTATCCACCATAATATTAGCACATGTACAATGAAAGAGAGATCCATTAGCTCTCCCACAACTGGGCAGCCCTGAATTATTTTATGTGCAGAGGAGTATGGGTGGGATAGAATTCACTTGGCAGCCTCCAATCTCTGAAATCTACCTGGGGTCTTTCACTGATTCCCTCCCTAGTGTAGATGGATGCCTTTGGCACAGGAGTCCTACACCTCTGGTTTCATCAAGGCTGTACCAAGAGTGCAAGGAGCTTACCTAAGTTCATGTAAAACAGAGCTGGGCATGCTGTGGATGTGTTAGTGGGCAGTAGCAGATAGAAACAGTGGGGCAGCAGTTTTGCCTGTCCTACAGTCCATCACGTTGCTGCTGCTGACCAGAAGGCAGAGGAAGAGGAGGAGGCCATGAGGCTGGTGCAATACAAAGCCAGTGACAAAGCCAATCAGTGACAGTGTATTTGTACTGCAACTACCTCACCACCACCTTGCCCTTCCCCTTCTGCCTCCTGGTAAGCCACAAGGTCAGATGAGTGCCAGTGCATCAGCACACCATCAGCTTCTGTTGGA